CGTATGCATTGATGTAATTGTATAGAAAAGTCGACAACGACAACGACGACGACGACGGCAACGAAGAGAAATTCGTGGGCGACGTGGGACGATAAAAAACCGTGTAACATTCTTTTCTACTTTTTTTCATTACGGTATCGATCTTTTACAAAGCACTAAACTATCATTATGTTATTAAGACGTTTCTTTGAACGAGCACGTACTCGTTCTTCCAGTGATAACAACAAACGTGAGAATTATTATTACTTATCGAATTTTTTTCTCTTATCATATAAAATAAATATTTCATTTATGTTTTAATAATTATTTAGAAATATGTTTATGTACAACGGCTAAACGAGATTCATTGTATGATGATTCAGTGAGATCATTAACGAAAATAAATGAACGACCAACAGCCGAACCATATGGCGTCATTCGTACGGGTAAATTTTAATATATACAATACACGTATAGTTCATTAAAGAAAAAAGAAAGATTAATCATATAAATAGAATGCTGCAATAGTTCGACAATTATCATTGAAAGAATTCTCTATTAATTAATCTTTCTGTCCTTGTCTAGCGATATATATATATACACATCTTGCTATGGATCATCTGCTTATTCTCTTCGTTAAATCTAGACTTAGACTATACATGAGTATTTACATTTCTTTAGATAAACCAAAGCGACTGATGCGTCAGGCAAGTTTAGATGAATCTGATGGTGAAGATGATACAAGTATTACAGAAAAATTACGTCGTGCATCATCACAATCACCAGCAAATATTCCGATGTTAGTTGTTGTTTCATTTAATCCTGATGCAAAAGGTTTACAAAAAAAACAAATTGAAATTCAACGAGGTTTTCCTGTTAATGCTCAATATATTTTAAATGAATGGTTATTTATAAAAACAGCTGATGATGAAGAAGGTTTTGTACCATATTTATGTTGTCGTCCAATGTTTCGTCGTCAATTAACAAAATGTTCGAATAATAATAATAATAATATGGAAAATTCTTATAAACCTTATGATTTTGAATTAAATAAATCTAATCGAATAAAATCTCCACCAATCAATCTCGTAACATTAACACCACCAACAAATAAAAAAACTTCTTTATCAGCACATCTTTGTTCACCAACATATTTATTTCAAAAATCCTCACCGTGTAGAAAACGTCCAGATGTTGCATCATCATCATGTGGTGGTGATTCAGGTGTTTCAGATTGTGAATCTTCATCAAATCATAATCCAACATTAGATTCATCAACAACACTTACAGCACGTTTATCCAATATACGATCATTACGTTTATCATCTATTACATTGAAAAAAACAGGTCTTATTGTACAAGATATTCCATTAAAAAAATCATTTAAACCTAATTTAATGAAATCACAATTGTCAATATCAAGTAATAGTGCATTTACACAAATTGTTAAGAAAAAACAACGACAGGAAAGGTAAAAAAAGATCTTGCACAATCTCAATTCAAAATGGATATGTATAGTACATAGAATTACATTAGTATCGAGGGATAGGCGTTGCTTTGTGGTTACTTCGTATTTTACAAAATAATTGTCTGTCACAC